AATGGTTGACCTTGACTATTACATCATCGAATTAATGCTTAGCCTCGAAACACGGGAGTTACAAAAATTACATACAACACACAACGAAAGCAAATTAACAAAAACATATTCCATAAGGATCACAAGTTCAACAGTTTAATACAACAAAACTAAAACCCTAGAGAGAGAGGATCGATTGGTACCTTTATCTGATTAATCGACTTCTTTTGATTTGTCTAGAATAATTGTAGAGTCCAAAGTATATCTTCTCTCTTTTAGCAGCACCTCAAGATGTAAATTTAGAAAATATGACATTTATTTATTCTCCTTGATGGCAAACCGCAAACCATAATTTAATATGGAGGAATGCATTTAGCCATAACAAACCGATATGTGTGTGTGTGTATATATATATATATATATATATATATATATATATATATATATATATATATATATAGAGAGAGAGAGAGAGAGAGAGAGAGATTGAGAAGGAATTAGGATCCATTAACAACTTAAAGATTTATAATGTGAAATCAAAAAATGAGAAAAGATGGAATGGTTCATTAATAGTTTTATTTTTGTAATAGTAGCATAAATAATAAAAGGAACTAAAAAATATTTAAAAAAAATCTACCATTAAGATTAATATGGTCATTTTAATATAGTTGGTGACCAAAATCAGAATAAATGCAAACGGGATGGATAATTCATGTTAAAAAAAAGAGTTAGGTACTAGCTTGTAAATTATCTCAAACCATGTGCACCATTTATTAATTTACTCTGATTTTAATAATAAAGTTAACTAGGATAATAATATTGGATTGTTACCCATGAATTTCACATGAAATGGATTTCCCACACATTTCACATGAAAAGTGTTTGATACATATTTCACATGAGTTATTATAAATTAGTGTTTCATATATATTTCCCATGAATTATTATAAATAAGTATCCACATATCCTTCATTAATTTATTAAGATATGGGTAATCCATGGGTAACTCTATATAAATTATCCATGGATTTCTCAAGGACTATATTTTTTTCGACTCTCAAACATTATTGTTTTTGTTCCATCTTTCACATAACTTAAAAAATCAATGTATTACTTTGTTATTCCAATTTATGTTAATTTCGCATATACATACATACATACATGTAAACCGTTGAAACTTTACTACTCAATACGAACTCTCGAGTTTGAGTATGCATTAATATGCATCCATCCAACATTCACATATATGTATTGATGATGCATCCCATGCGAGATGGTTTTGTGATCCTCTTAGACGTACACCAAACAACAAAACATTCTCGGTTTACCTCATTCAGTTTAGTACCTATGTAGTCATGTCTAGCAGGGAAAGCAATATTGGTGCCCATGCGATGCCCGACTTGGAAGTATAAGGATGTCGTGACACACAATCTCCTTTTCAAACCAAAAGAAAAATTGTATCAAAGGAGACACGAAACCAACAACTGAATATCCCATCTTACTGTGTACATGATACAGGTTTAACATCACAACTCTCAACAATATATAAACAGTCATACTATAAATAAACTCATATCTCTATTAACAACCATAAGAGATAGTATATCTTTACACCCTAAAATACAACCAGTATTAACTTATCCATCATAACATATTGCTAGGATCCATTCTTGTAATACACCTAAAGTCTATTATGATTTCAGGTCTTGGAAAACACCTTTACTACTCTTTTATCACCCATGCCTAATCAACCAAATTAGATCGATATAGTGGTGACATCGATGGAATCGTAGTGAAAAGTGTAACACCTTAAATTTTATATCTTTGAAACACACACACACACACACACACACACACACATATATATATATATATATATATATATATATATATATATATATATATATTCATAAAACCATAATACCATAAATATATTTCCAGGCCATATACAACTTTATGTAATGTAATGTATAAATTTAAAGCACACATAAGTTTTGGGGAGTCCACATCTCTGTTGTTGAAATTGTCGACTCCTTTACTATACATGATGACCTATAAATTCTTTGTGGCCTTGTTCTTTCCAAATCCACAAATCTAAGGTAAAACTGATATCACAATGCATCATCACATCATTGAGATAAGTGTCTAGACACATGACAAAATACAACAACATAGATATGAATGTATGAACATACATAAGCACATTTCGTATGCAGTTCATTCCCCAGACATATAAAATGCCATGTCAAAATTCATGATATTATTATTATACAAAACATAATATAACATCAACATATGAAACTATTCATAGAACCCTCATTCATACACATTTGATTTCGTAAAAAAAATATTTGTCATAAACAAGTAAATGTTACATACTCAAGTAAAAATATCCATATGTACTCACCTTTTGTGTTAGTCTCAACTAACTACTACTCTTATCTTTGAATTCACCTTATTCCTTTGTCCCAAACTTTCTTCAATCCTAATCAATTGATACCACCTATTTTTTTTAGCAATTCACAAGTTTGTTTCAAGAATACCGAATCATTCTAGTAATATAGTACTTTCAGAGAATTAATCCCTCTATTCCAAAACACAACTTTCAATGTTATAATCTCAAATTCAAAGTGCTAGTGTGATTAACTAAATTTAGCTCATATAAAGCCATTTTCAGCTGCAAGCATCTAAGTTAATCCATAATTCAAGTTTAACATCTATTTATCAACCACCCTTCTCCAATTCAAAAGATTGACATGAAATATAACTTGTAACATGATAATAACCATGGATAACATGTTTATTTACATATTACATAAATATTTATATCTAATTACCGCATTCCAAACTATGATTTATGTTGTATTTCTGATTTCATTAAATTATATGAACCTAACTGCATTCTCAGTTTTATTAACATAATAACAAAACTTTATTGCTCATTTCATCTTTATCTAACACTAATTCTAACATGCAAAATGAGATAATAAATCTAGGGTTCATGACCAAGCCTCAATTAAAATAATTAAATCCATAAAATTACTTAAAAGGAGTTGTAACATCCATAAAATTCAAGCCAATTTAAAACTTTTTAAAACATTTAAACCATTAAGTTATTACAATTTACTTTCAAAATAATTTGAACATCAGAGTATCCCCAGAATCAAAGTCATAAAAAGTGAGGAGCTGTACGATCACGCTTTTGCCTTGCCACGATCCCCTGATGTACCTGAAACAATAAACTGAAACTGTAAGCCCGAAAGCTTAGTGAGTTACCCCCAAAATACAGATACACATACAGTCCACATAACGATATCAGCAATATCATAACATAACAAACTGAACAACATGCAATGGGTCCATAGCTTTACAGACTGGATTACCCCTAGGCCCACAGTGTGAGTCTGGATTGCCTTCCAGGCCCACAGCTCACATCTGGATTGCCACCGAGCCCACAGTACGAGTCTCCCTCAGCTCGTATCTAGAATGCTCCCGATCCCATAATAAGAGTCTGACATGCCCCACCTGGCCCTCAGCTCGTATATGGAATGCTCCCGGATTTGTTGGTCACCGCACGGAGCAGTATCACCTCAACCCATCCCACATAATATGTCGACATATAACACAACTAATGCGCATACATATAATCACATAATACTACAGGTAGTCCAACAGATCTACCTAACTGGTATAGCAACTAGCATGCAACACTAACTCATACTGAACATACTACCAACTGCTAGAATATCATATCCAATGGGCCGACATTGGTGCCTTAGACCCCTTAGTATAGTGAGGAGAACTCACCTGGCACTGCTGAAGTCCCGCAGATAAAACTCCAGCTGCTGGTTGATAGATTCCCGAACTGTCAACATCAAACAATACCCAATTAATAACTGGGTTCCAAGCCCAAGGTCCAACTCACACTCCAAAGGCCCAAAAGTCAAGTAATGGGCCAAAGCCCAACATATGGCCCAATTTTCCAAATTGGGCCCAGACCTCTACATGGTCTTTCCTTACGGCCTATCCAATTATTCTAGTCCAAACTCTTGGTATTCCCATGGCCCAATATCACATAATCATAAAGGCCCAGTTATGACCCACCTATGGCCCAATTTTCCAAATTCGGCCCAAGTCCTTCACATAGGCCTTACCCTACAACGCATCCAATTATTTTGGTCCATTTACTTGTTCTTGGATAGCCCATCAATAATCCAACCACCAAGGCCCAATAGGAAGGCCCAAATCAAGGCCCAAGTGAAATTAGGGTTTTCACATGAAATGAAGATTAGGGTTAAGTGTTTCTTACTTAACCCATTAAGGACTTAATCCATTAAGTCCAATATTACCTTAGGTTAATTTGCCAATGATTATTATTTAATATTTCTAGTTTAAATAATTCCCGTGTGTGTCTCGATCAATTCCCAAAATTAGGGTTTTATACCATTACGGTTTTCCAACCCAATACTAGCCCATTAGACAATTGGTTGGGCTTTTAGGTCACATTGGGCCTCATTGTGCCCATTAGGGTTTTATTGGGCCCACTAGGGTTTCGTCAGGCCCATTCTGTCCAAACACCCCAAACGAGACAATACGCAAGCTAGGCACACCGCCACCCAACACAGCGGCTGGTGGCGGCAGCCACCACCTTACGGTGGTGGTTTAGAGTTTTCTTACTATTCTGATCGATTACAATGCTACAACAAGATATCCGAACACACACAAACACACACTAAGCTACACACACTCATAAATAACACACACACACAGCCGCACTGTGGCGGCAGGTGGTGGTCGGAGGTGCTAGCCACCACCCCACGGTGGTGGTGGTGGCCCTCATGCATTTCCCGGCTAAGATAACTACACCCACAAACGGAAGAACACACACCCATCCATACTTGCTTCTAATCTGCGAGATGTACCCCAGCCACCCTCCCGGTGGCCCACGACGGCGACAACAAACGTTTTGGGACGACAGCCACCACCTCACGGTGGTGGCGGTGATCTCCTTTGGTTCTCGGTCAAACAGCAACACATCCTGACGAGACCTTGCTCGGAATCTGGACGCAACCACCAATTGGTGGTGCATAACGACGACAACAGTAGTTCAAGCAGCCACAATGGTGGCTATCGGCGACAGAACGAAAAGGAAGAAGAATAAGGACGGCGGCGACTGGTCCCGAGCGACGGTGGTCGATGCAACGGCAGGGAGATGGCGGAACAGAAGAGACGCGAAGGAGGTGGTGGTTTCCACCGGAAATAGCAACGACGACGCTCCAAGGTGAGTTCCATCCCATTTCTCGCGGCCATGACGTCTCGTAGAGGTTTCCTTCTTCGATGGGGTGGCACAGCGGCGGCCGAAAGTCTAGAGGGTGAGTGGTGATGGCTGTAAGCATCCTTAGGGTTAGGGTTTGCTTTGGCATAAATACCCGCCTCCACACCAAACTTGTTGCCATAATGGCAAAACTGGTCCCTCCCCATGACATTTTCTTTCAAAATAAGGCCAATATTTACCATTTAAACCCTCAGGAAATCGATGCTCTTAACTACCCCTTTTTCTTTGAAAAAACGGAACGAATCGTCAATTTCAAACTGAACTAACCATTTTTGCCCGCCCACTTAATATAATTAGTATAGAAGTCTATATAGTTAGCCAAATCGTCTGAAGCATGAACATAATCGCCTTTGTTCCGAAGGCCTAGCGAGTTAAGCGAGTTCCTTTTTTCTTTTTTCAAAGGCAATCCTTTTCTTTCCCCGGACCGATGACTCGCTTGTTCAGTTAGGTACCATATTTACCTAACAGCCCTCCACTTTGAGAATCTTTGCAAAACTAATCCAGGATTTACCTTTTTAACCCCCAATTCTCATTTATGACATATTCAGCCCTTTTCTTCTCTTTTCCTTTCAAATTAAGTCCCAATAATTACCACGGAGCCCCTGACTTCATAAATATTTACAAAATAAGTCGCGAATTTACACTTTAACCCACGAATAATCCAAATAATAACTTTTGGCCCCCAAAATCAACGCCCTACTAAATATTATGGATTTTAAGGCCAGGATTCATTTATTAATCTTTATCTATTTATTTACATAACAAACAAGGTGTTACAGCTCTCCCCCACTTAAATTAGATTTCGTCCTCGAAATCATTCCTTACCATCCCTTACGCGCCAACCACTTCCAGTATCATGGCCACAATCCTGGGTACACCCTGGCCTCCCCAGGGTAGTCGTGACCAATCTTCGCAAAGCCATAAAATCCGTTGTCTCGAGATGGCTTGATTCCCTGGCAGCCCACTCATGCTGTATCCTTATCTTTGAATCCAATCTGTTTATCCCTCAACAGACTACTCAACTTCTAATAGCTTAAGGTTCCCGTTATAAAACCGGATCAAAAACCTAATTATCCCTGCAGATTACTTATACTTGGCCTAGGCTCAGCTGATCCAGCTGTGAGTGGCTGGTCACCTCCCAATCAACCAGTTTCTTCGTCCGCACCTGCAACCTGACACACTAGTACTCCTCGAGATCCCAAAACTGCCTGAAACACCGAATTGCCTGAAGTAGTATGTTGTCCCATGACTGCCTTCCCAAATTCTACCGAGACCTTCCGTGTCTCAATTTGTTCACCAATCATCTGAAATATCGGGTCCCGACCCTGCTGCGGAGCCAAAGGACTCCCACTTAGTCGCCTCACACGAATTCTGAACAAAATCCTTCTCTGGAACTAGTTGCCACTAGTTATCATGGCACTGCGACTCTAACAACCTCGTGATCCAACCGATCGGATCCATGCGTCGAATCCCGTCATGGTATGGAATGTTCAAAGTGTAGTGGTCACAAGAGCAAAGCACTAAATACATATTTAGAGTATGAAGTGTTCAAAGAGAAATATTAAAGGATGTAAGAAATCCTAGATTCATTAGGAAACTTAACCATAAATCTAGAAGAATAACTTTTTCTTACTGGAGCCCTAAATTTTTCGGGGCGACACCGAAATCCTCTACCATTCTACCCTAAATCATAGGTACCACCAATAGATAATTCCTACGACTTACCTTCATCGATATTTCTAAAAGTGAATAATGTCTACCAGATCATGATCATTGTTAGACTGCCAAACTTGAAAACATGATATGGAACAACTGACCCCCCCAAATGACCACATCGACACTTATGAATATCATATACAATTTTCAAAGTTAGACCATGTTTCTATTTAACCTATTTGACACTACCTTAAATGGAAATTCCAGAGCTTGGTTGAAAATCTTGGAACCAAACATCATTCATAACTTGAAAAAACTCAAAGAGGCATTCCTCGCCAAGTTCATGTAGTTATGAAAATACCATGCACATGCACACAAAAATTATGTGATGTAGATAACTGGAAGGATAATGTATTAAATCATTTGACAAATAATTCAACGAAGCTACTCCAGGCATACTAAAAAAGGATAAGAAAATATCATAAGATTGTTTAATTAAGGCTTATGACCAGGATCTCTCATTAGAGGTATTAATATAAATATCGATGGCTCGACATGAATTGAAAGAAAGGGTTGATCGGTTAATTAAGAAAGAAGTAGAAATAAATAGACAAATATCCAAGGAGAATGTTATTCGTCCAGTAGAGGATTGTTGGAAATAGTGTCCAAGGTCATTAACTATTGGTATTATTTCTAATAATAACAGGGTCCTTTTGGGTTGCCCTCAAGACCCAAATTGAGTAGAATAAATAAAGGAGAAATTGGTTTATTAATTACTATGGATAATAATTAATTATAAACTAATTAGAAAACATTTTGGGAATTAATTAACAGTTTAATTAATTAAAGGGTTGAATATTCATTAATCGATAATTGGTTAATCAGGAATATTCCAGAACCCTTATGGGATTAGGGTTGGACGAAAATCACTCTATCCCACATGGGAAAAGGAGTGAATTTCGTGGTTATCTCCTCATCCCACATGGAAGGAGTACAAAACCTAGGAAGGGATCCAAGGCTATAAATAGGGCCTTAGGGATTTCATTCTTCCTTGCACCTTGGCGTGAAGTTTCGCCAACCCTTCTTCCCTCCCCCCCCCCCCTCTCAAGGATGATTTCTAACCCTCTTAGGGTTTGTGAAATTGACCCTTCTCCTAGTTATTTTATGTTTTCATAGGGTGGATGTAATTAGCATGAAACCAAAGATCCATAAGTTGCATGTACACTTAGGTATATCGTAGTTTCGATTTTTCCGCTACCTAGTTTAGAGTGTATTTGATGCATAAAAAACCCAACAGTGGTATCAGAGCCATTGGTTTATGATTACATTCACCATAGATCCATATTTTCTGTAAATGTTTGTTTGGAATTGAATGAAAGAAGAATAATTGGAAAATTCGTGACTGAAAACACCCTTTGTCACAACTCACGACGTGAGGGGTTTATGCTCACGACGTGAGCAGCCCGGATTAGGGTTTCCCTATTGTTTTTTTTTCAAATTTGAAGGTTTGTTAAATATGGATAAATAACAAATTTAAAATGTTTTAAATCTAGAAAATTGAAAAATATTATTTGAATGTGATTGTTTAAATTTGAATATTTATTTATTATTTAAATAGTGAATTTAAATATTTAATATTATTTATAATAGAGATTTATAAATTTGAATATTAATCCCTCATGATTTATTAATTGTTACATTGCGTCCTTGTAATTAATTAGAATTAATAATAGACAACTAAATTTAAAGAGTTTTAAATTTACCCCTTGTATTTATACATATTAGAATTGTATCTATTATATGTATAAGAAAGTTACAACATGTGTGTCCTCGCATGTTTAAATATTGACATTATCAGTCGTACCATGACTAGGCTCACCCATTCTGATGTAGGGGTTTAATGAGGTCTCTATGATTCCTAATGATGTCGGTTTTTAATATATTTCATGCTTACCACCCTTATCGCCCTATTGCATTTTGAGAATGGAGTTATCAAAAGGGCTTGATAGTGATAATGTCAATCTAAAAATATTCTAAATACAAGTATAAAACAAAATCTCGTTTTATTAATAGAATGTGAAGTTCGTATTATCCTTGAAAATTACACATACTCTTTATATTTATGTTGGTGGAGCTCGTGTGGTTAACCGGCACATCAATCTAGAGTATAGTTGAGAATGATATGGAACTTGCGAATCTTAAGCGTAACTTGAGCCAAGGACCATGTGATTTTGTATGGTTAGTTCATAATCTATTTAATGTGAATCTTATGTTCTCCATAAAAGTTGCACATTCTCTTTATAAATTGTTGATGGAGCTCGTGTGGTTAACCGACACGTCAATTTGACAGTATAGGTAGAGAATGATGTGGAACTCATGAATTTCAAGCGTAACTTGAACCAGAGACCATGCAATTTTGTATGGACGATTCACCATCTGTTCAGTGATCCGCGACGACCCCGTCATTGAATTTGAGATGAACATAATCATAGATTAACATGCCATTGATAGTCAATGACTCTCAAAGATCTAGGAATTTCATGGTGATCGAAATTATCAAAGGGCATTGCCTACCTAAATAACTTTATGGTGTGTTTACGGCATCCCTTTACACACCATGGAGCCAAATATGGATCCTAGCCTTCTTAATTTATTTAGGGTGATTATTTTCTAAGGATTAATGAAACAAACTATAATGGAAATTAATATTGAATGATGTCTATCACCTTATTCACTAAAGTCTACTTCTATAAAACCTTTGGAAGTATTAGCTATGAGGATGATCAATCTTGTCAAATTTGTATTTTGGGAATAGTTCTCATAAACGGAAAGAAAAGATCATGCATTTGACTAAGTTATTCCTGAGGTTCATCCAATTACTGCATTCTAATCAATCAGAAAGAGTAGTTATCAAGTGTACGTTGTAAACTGACATGTTCTGGTAGCTAGTCGTTTACATAACAAGAAAGGACTAAGAAAGCATACATGCGCAATATATATATTTGAAGTGAAAGGACTAAAACATGGAGAAATTAATTTAATCATGGATTACGAGCCCTTGCTACTTTCCATAGGATCAAATGATAACTAGTTCTCCCATGTTTGGTGTTCAATCAAATATATGGATTCATAATGCCATCGAAACATTACTTCCAAACCTTGAGTATTTTAATAAGGATTAAGTACTGACATTTACAATAATGTGCAGTAACTAGAATGAAGTAAGAAGACTGAAACATGGAGAAGATAATTTGATCATGAATGTCAAGCCCTTGATACTATTCATGGGATCAAAAGATAACTCTCCCAAATGTTTAGTATATGGTATTATAATTAAAATTGTTTATACTATGATTCATGAGATAGTTTTGACTTATTTGGATGTGGAGCATTCTAACATGTTAAAATAAAGTCATGAAATTTATGAAGCTGGTATAGTAGCAATAGTTCAAAATTGATTCGAATATTTGAATAAGTGTATTATTGTGGTGCAAA